TGAGAAGAAGGATAAAATAGCAACAAAACCATTTTAAAACAGGTTAGTGGGAAGTTTACAATAATTAATAAATTGGATTGCATGGTCTTTGTAGTAGTTATGTAGATGTTAAGTGATGATATCTTGTCTAAACAACATTAGTACACACTTTCACAATCAGTGAACTAAGAGAAAGTAGCTGTATATTTATCCTAACTCTCTTGTGTTTACATACGTATATATATATTTTTTTTCCTTCCTTTTTTTCCCTACAACAAAACTGTCCTTTATTTATACTTTTGTGAAGATAGTAACACATGACACTAGGTTGCCTAGCAACTGTTAGCAAACCTTAACCAGACAGGATGTTCATCTCTGGAGTGAGGTAGCTTTTTGGCTTTAGGCACTTGGCCAAGTCCCACCTACATGTATTTGATTGATTTTCTAGCTTTGTGGCTCCCAAAATATTCCTCTTTTTTGTTTTCTTTGGGTATTTCACTGCAATTAGAGAAGCCATATTTGCAGAAATCTTCAAAGGACCTTTTCAATCTCAAAACAAAGCTAAAGATTGTAGACACTTGATTTCTGCAAAATAACCCTATGTAGCCCAGTAGTCCATAACAGTAGTGAGATAGCAGTACAACTGGCAAATGTCTGAAGGTGTTGACATGAGCCTTTACCATCTCACCCCAGAACAAATGGCTAGCATAAATAAATCTACCAACGCTAAATATTGGAGAAGCTGCGGGGGAAAAAGGAACACTTCTCCATTCCTAGTGGAATGTAGACTGGTGTGACCATTATGTAAATCAGTGTGGAAACTCCTCAAAAAACCAGGAGGGGAAATCCAGTTCAATCCAGCTATCCCGTTTGGGAATTTTCCCAAAAGAACTGAAAACATCATAATATAATGGTATATGTGCACCTATGTTTACAGCACCACAATTTGTGAGAGCCATATCTTGGAAAAAAACAGCGTACCTGTCACCTGAGGAATGGATGAAAAAGATGTGGTGCTTTTATACAATGGAATATTACTCAGCTATAAAGAATAATAAAGTCAAGCCTTCATGGATAAGTGGATTCCACTTGAAGATATACTTATAAGTAAAAAGAGTCAGACCCACATGTGCAAATATTGTATAGTGTCCCTAGTGTAAGAACACAAAAGAGGTAATAAAAATTGAAAAGTGTAACACAGAAGGAAAGTGAAAACTTAAGGTTTGAACCACAAAAAGAGAGAAAGGAGAAAATTTAGGAAATATGTTTTTTTT